CTTCGGGAACCTAACACCCTAAAAATATTGCTAACGCGCCTATACTGCAACCTCTTTACGATTTTTAAGTCCTTTTATTTAAATCTCTGTGCCGAAAAATCAACTATTTCGATCAGGCGGTCTCAGCTGTTGACGACCATATGATTATTTTGTTACTTGTATGTTTCTACAATGGTCTTAATGGTATAAAGTGTGCAGCTTTTACCGACAAGAATATTGCTAATGTTGTAAAAAGATAGCGAAGAGGGGAAATCTTTAGTATAGCTTCCTCCGAATTCGGGGATAAAATAGGTTTGAGCTCCAACACGCCAGTGTTCATAGTTCTTTTGTATCGAACTTTTTCCTGTACTGGCGGACTTTTAAGGGACAAGTAGCAATGAATGATAATTCTTTTTATTATGTACTAGAGGACCCGTCCACGCTTTACTGTGGCTGATAAATAGGTAATACTACTACTGCCATCTATATGATTTCTAGTAGTGGGATTATAACTATTAGTTAATTAGATATAGCATTCCTGTAAAGCAATTTGTGGTACTTCAAAAAAAAAATTGATCATAAAGCATTTCGTGTGTTAATAAAGCATTGCTTTTTGGAAGAAAATACTGTTGAATTTCGGCTCAAGGAAATCCACGGGTGCCTCGCAAGTTCATAATCCAACAAAAACAACGAATAACTGATTCTGAGAAGTGTTTGAGCGCTCTTTAGTTGTAATCAAACCGAATTTTTGGGATGCACGTGGTATAATACATATTAAACGACTGATTACTGAGGCAATTATAATCTATTCCACTGCATATTTGGTTGCACTTCTTTTCTACTATTCCAAATACTTAGTATACTTGTATTATTTTTGAGGAAGAATCTGTTTAAAATTGTACGCATATATTCAAATTATTCAAATGATTAGTACAAACATGAATTTTGAAATTACTATTTTTTCAGCTTATGAAATAAAATGTTCAAATATTCCGGCAAACAACATTTGAACAACGTATTGAACAAATGCTTATGATTTGAAATATAATTTCTGCATTTATGCGTTTTAACATAAAGAGATAAAAAATTATCCTATGTCCTTACCCTGGTTCTGAGCTACCCCACCAATTTTCAGCCAAATCGGTTCAGCCGTTCGTTAGTTATAAATAGTGTAACTAACACAACTTTCTTTTATATACACTTGACGAAAAAAACCCACGCAGTCGAAAATTTTGTAATATTACTATATTGAACTACCCCAATTTGCTCAAAAATTTCCTATATGGCTGTTTTGTCATGTGACTACATTATTTTGCCTTTATTTTTAAAACCGTTAGCATCCGCACATGTTTCTTACAGAGTTTACGGAATTTTCTTTTGAAAAAGATGTGAAAACAAGTAAAGTTGAACATGATGGGGTCATCAAAAAAGAAAGCAGAAATCGTAGCTTTATATAAAATAAATTATCCAATGGTCAAATAGCTCGTGATATGGGCATAAGTGATTAGAACGTGCCTTTGATAATTAAGAATTATACGTATTTTAATTGATTAGCTCGAAAAAAGGGCAGTGGACGTCCGAAAACAGTAAAACCTCGTCAAGAACGACAAATTAAACGGATGTGCATTAGTGATCCCTTTTAACATGCTGGAACAATCAATGCAACATTTTACGAAACTACTGGGGTAAAAATTACTACAAGTTCTGTGCAAAATGTGCTGAATAATTTTCGATTCCGAGCGTGAAGGCCATCCAAAAAGCCACTTCTCATTATAAGAATAAAGAAACAACGGTTAGAGTGGGCAAAATTACACAACACTCGGACTAAATCAGATCGGGTAAATGTTATGTTTTCCGATGAATCGAAATTTAATTTGCTGGAACCGGACGGAAATGCTACAGTGCGTCGTAGGGACGGTGAGGGTTTTTCGGAAAACTGTGTTTCACCCATCGTAAAGCATTCGCCTTATTTAATGGTGTAGAAAGCTATAACCAAGATTGGTATTGGGCCGCTAATTATTCTAAAAAGATCTGTGAATGCCGAAATATAAATCGGAATTTTGAGATAAGGAGTTTGGCCAACTATTGAACAGCTGTCCGAACACGCCCAAAAAGTAAAATTTCAGGATATTTTAGCCGCTTGTCATAGAGCCAAAGCGGTAACTAAAGCATAAAAATACTGAAATAGATTTTTCAATAATTTATTACAAACACTTACAAGTTTCAAAACAAAAAGATTTTTATGGAATAGGGTCTCGCACGTGGCCTAGTCCAGTCCAGATTTCAATCCAATTGAGAACTGCTGGCATTATTTGGGCGAACGATAAGAGAAAACGTCCAAAACGTCTAAAAGAATTAGGAAACATTATTGAAGCTGTGGGGGGATGAAGGAATTATGTGAGAACTAAATATCTATACAGAATTTAGCCCACATAACCCATAAAGGCACAACCTATTGTTCACAACACAACGGGAAAACCACGCCACTTCTAGAAACACAAGAAGCTGAAACAACACGAATGCAGTAAAAACACGCCACGTAAGCAATACAACGGGAAAACCACGGAGACGGAGAAATCAGACAAGCAGACGAAACAACAATAAGCATGCATACGCAGCGGTAAAATCACGCCACTGCCAGCAACATATGCCATCCCAGCAACACACGCCATCCTAACGCAACATGTTGCGAAGATGTTAGCAGACAGCACAGGCTTGGTGGGGAGTTAGATGGCCGATGATCAGTCAGTTAGCACGGGACTGTGACAGCGCACACACGCACACAACCTTTAACATCGCGGTCGCTTACGCAGTCTTCCGTGGTCCGTGTGGTCATAGCGGAGGAACGTCAACACCGCCAGGACACCGTCATTGAAGCCTACACGAGCGCCGGCAGAAATAGTCGAGCGTGGTCGTCGTAGCACGGGAGTGTCTACGCACGCCGCAGGATATCGTCAACGAAGCCTTCGCGAGCGCCGGCAGAAGTAGCCCAGCGAGATCGTAGTGGTACAAAGCAGCCAGTCGTATAGTACCCAGGAGCGCAGCAGAGCGGGAAACGGTATTGCCCTAACGGGCCACACTGAACCGTTACCCGGACAGCACTTTCCTCGGGCGGCGACACCATAACGAGGGAGACAATTTTATAACTTGAATTATATAATAGAGATTATATTATATTATAAAATATGATTCGCAGAAGAGCCCCAATATTTACAAATATATTGTAACGAACCCTGGACACGGCGAGTATACCTCAGCAATTTATGTATACTTGTAAGAAGCAGGGGCAGCAAAAAGCTTCGTTACAATTAATAAAAATTATCTTCAACGCTTTTTTGAATCCATGCCTGAACAAATATCCGAGGTCATTTCGAGGGGCTGTTCTACAAAATACTAAGATTTTTTTTTAAACCAAAGATGTTATTTTGATTCGTTATGTATTCTAATGCTAAATAAAAATCATATAAATTATGTAAATAAGTCGTCCAAAAATTACGTTATTGTTCATAACAAAATTTACTTCTGTGGTTTGTTATGTGTATGTTTTTACATTTTTTACTCTAACAAGTGTTAAACTATAAGTTTTTTTTTATATAGAACTGTTTGAAACAAGAACTAAATAAAAGTGGTTGACCCTCACAGAAAAATGTTTAACTTAGAATAACATGAATCCAAGTTTTGTGATATATAAGAGCACTCTGTGGAGTGCGTGGGTTTTTTTTTCGACAAGTGTATATAGATTTCTAATTTTTGTCGAAGAAAGATGGCAAATTTTTAATATATTTTCCAACAAAATTGGACATTTTTTCAGAAAATGAGTTACAGCCGCCCCTAAATAAAAGCGGCAACGGCAAATTACTGTCAAAAAATCCTCATGTTAATAACTTTTGTACGGCGCATACATAATACCAATAAACGGAGCAGAAACGTTGGGGGTTAACAGTGCATTATTAAATAATTTTCGACGGACGATGCGTAGAAAGTGCTAATGAATGAGATTATTACAAAGAAATTAATTCTGTTAATTAATAATTTGAGCACCGATTGCCTATAGTAATGCAATTCACTTTCGGTACGCATAACCATTCGCAAAATCTTATAGCGTAACACCTCAGATGACTCCATGAAAGTGTATCAGAATTAAATTGATAAATTTAACGATGGTCGATTGTCTGCCGTTATGCTCATACTGTTACAAAACATAATGTTTAGACATAATTCAATTTTGTTTAAAGGTCTTTTTTCTACTAAATTTGTAAGAAATATCAGAGTAAAATATTATTAATAAAAGCTGTATACAATGAAAAGTTGTTCCCATTCTGTGCGTCATTGACGAAGTATACACTGTACAAAATGACTCGGAAATTAAGTAGAACAGAATATGTCATTTCTATTACAAATTACTTGATCCTAAAACTGAAATAATTTGTTTAATTATTCTGTATATTTTTTTCTCTTTAGTATTTTAATTAAATTAAATGAAACTTTACAAAATTTTATATTTATATCAGCTGAGTGTGAAACTTCAAGTTTATATCGTAAGTATTTGTTAAGAAAAATCGTAAAGAAATATATGTTTCATTTTAACGATAGATTTAATTATGATGAACTTATGACACAAGTAGTCTACATATGCATATAAAGCACACTCTCTGAATTACAAGTTTAGTTGCAGAAATATATACCCTACCTTAAAATTATTTAATATTCTTAGAAAACCAAAAACAGAAACACTAGCTTTGAACTAAATTGTAGGTAACATTGTTTTGTTAGCTTATGCTATGATAATAGTAAACGTTTTGTACTCAAATTTATATTGACTGACGGCAACTCATACGCAATTCCACCCCATTGTAGCTTATATGTTCGCCTACGCCACCTTATTGCTGGATTCCAAAGCGCATGCAGGAACAGGTAAGGCCCACTTATTTCCCTCAAAAGCCAACCAACAACAAATTCAAACTTATGGAACGATAATGACCCATTCTAAAATTTATACAACACAATATAATTGATACTTTTAAAATATAAAAAATCTTAACCTCTAAATTGATAAATCTAACCTGTACAATAGAAAGTAATATCCAGTCGGATAAAAACCATGTCAGTACATGTATTAAGTAAAATACTAACGGATCCCAATTGAATAGTATCTCCGCAGACCATGATGCCAAAGCTCCCAACACCATGCACTCAGAGAGCGGTTCAAGAAGTATTGTTGTCGGAACCATAGCTACGCGTAGTTTCGCCCATCGTATGAGCCGTTCTTGAAAACTGCTTATGTCACAAATACCACTATTTTGCATTGCAGGTTGATTACTTATTCGCATTTTCCAACCTTTGTCTCTTATTGCTTTAGCAATAAAGAAATCCTCAGCTAAATAACAGCCAAATGCTTTTAAACCACCAAGTTCATCAATTACTGATTTGCGTAACAAGCATGACATTCCAGTATGACAATTGATGCCCAATAAATCAGCAGATAGATATATGCGCGATTGAACCGTACCAAAAAAAACCTGTAAAGGAAAATCCTTTATTATTTTGAATGTTTGAATAACTGGAATTTCTATTTATTATACCACATCATATTGCGCAGATAGAAGGTTAGTAAGTCTTTAACATTTTATAAACTTTTTTACAATATATATGGTATATGCTATAACTTTACCAAAGTTATTAACCAAATAAATACATTTTCGATTCATCAATGAACGTTGCTCTATAATCACGATAGTAGGCAACCTTTACTAATATTGTAACATTGATGACTAAAAGAAATCGGTATTGTGGACTACAATGGCCGAATCTTTAGGAATTATGTAATATTACTTGCGGAAATTTTAAATTTTTGTTTAGGTTTCATACTTAACAGGAAAGGCAATTAACAACCCTGACAGAATATCTAGCTTACCATATCAAAGCATACTGTCTATTATTAAGTTATTAATGGTTCACACTTTTTATAAATACATTTATTTTAAATTATTTAAAAAAAATTTTAAATTGAAAATAATTTTAAACCCAAAACGCCTTTACTGTGTATATGCAATAGTGGTCAGCTCTGAATAATTTTTTGTCAGATTGTAGCGTTGCTTTAAAAAATACTCGATGACAAATTTCGTACAGGTTTACCAAAGAAGAACTTTGTTTTGATGTTTACGCTACTTGGGGAGAAAAGAACTTGTGCAAAATTTTCGATTTATATCTCAAAAAATGAGGGATATAATAATGAACAATGTCACGCTGATCATTCACATACCTACTTATTTTATAGGGTTTCCGACGACTCATTCATACTAAACATTATATACTCTGTTTAGGAGTAGAAAACTGTCTTTTTACCAATGCATAAAAAATTAAATAAAAATTTAAAGCGTTTTCTCCACAACTCACAAAGTCGATGGTCTTCATAACTTCAAAACAACTGAAACTTTAACACTTTGAACAATATTGAACCATCTTAAATGTGCTGTACTGAGACGTGGAACCTTAGATTCTGTTCACAACGATAAAGAACTGCGGTGGTCTTGCTTGAAATGTAGATGAACGCGATCTATTGTAGATTGACATGCAGACACGCAAAGGCTTCGGCCGACGTCTTCGGCTCATCGAAAATTTTAGTCATTACAAAACATTTTTCCAATCGTTTAAAAACCTAAATGATACTTAGAAATTTTCTAAACACGCCCCTAAATGGGACTCCCTCCATCAAATAAGGAGTGACACTTTCTATTCAAAAAAGTATATTTAAAAAGCACATTTCCGCTAAAGCTATGAAATGCACGAATTTCAACACAGCGTGAAGTAAAGTCGCTAAAGGCCCGCAGAAATAAAACTGAGATACGAGGAGTTTTTATGATCAAAATAAATAAGACTTCCAATACTAAACGAACTAAAATTAAGTTATAATTTTAACGTAATTGATTTACGATAACGTGGCTAAAACCTCAAGTTTTGCAGCGAATTTCAAATATTCAAATGTGATCAGCTGAAGAGATTCGGAGGAGGTGTTCTATTTTTATTGCGTTCTTCTACTCCAGAAATGCTTATAATGCTTATTCCATAACGGTTGAAAGGGAATTTCAGTTATCATGTGTCTTGTGGGAAGCTATCATATCTGTTAGTAATTATTTCGCTGTAACCTTCTTGTTCTGCCAGAGGGTATATACTATATATACCTTTGTGTCTTAGAGGAGTATTTCCGCTGGGACTCTAAATTAAGTCAACACTAGTTGACTTTTAGATCTCACGTCGGTTGGACGAGAGGAAGATAATCGTTGGGTTATTATTAATAACAACAATAATATAGACGATGGCATGCGAATAAAAACTAAAGTTCAACAATTAAATTAAATATCTCATTCTGAGGAATGCTTGAGTGCTCTTATCGTAATAAAAACGAATTTTTACGTCGGTTTATTCTAATAGAAATATGACCTCATCTTTTCACCCCGGAGTCCAATCGACAATCAGCCTAGTGGAATGCACATTATGAACCAGTCATTAAGAGTGGAAAGACGAAAACGTCTGCTGGCACTGATTATTGAGCCAGTTATGATCGATTGCACTTCGAATTTGGTTGCAGTTCTATTCTACTATTCCCAATATTTAGCAATTTTTTT